CATGTGAGCGGCACCATCCCAGGGCTGTGGTCCTAGACTAAATAAAAGGATTGGAAGGGAGAAAGCAGGCTGAGCAGAGACACACCCCTTTCTCTGTTGCCTGGTCAGCACCATCAACCAAATTCCCACTGCCACATCTTCCTCACCACAATGGACTGCATTTCTTTGAACTGTGAGCCCAAATAAACCAGTCTTTAAGTGTTTTGGTAAGTTGTTTTATTACGACAATAAGAAAATAACTAAGACAGCATGTTGTTTTTATATTAATATAATTAAAGTTTAAATATTGCTTGCACGTCATGTACAAGAAATGTAGACAAAGGGAAAAATCAAAAAAAATCTTAAAAACTTTTAGTAAAATTGCAGCACTCAGACCAATGGAAGAGACTCCCTTCATTTATTCTGACAACAAAAATGACTCTGTATCCATTATAAGAGCTACTTTTTCTGCATATGGCTTAAGAAAATAATCATCGACACTTTAATAGTTCTAATACTGAAATAGCAATGTGAATAGATTGTATATTCTATAATTAAATTTCTCCAAATAATTCCTTAAAGTTTATCTTTTTGAAAATTTGCATTCATTGCAGTATTAATTCTAAAAGTAAAATATAAAGAAGTATAAAAATTCAACATTAGAAAAATCATCACGGCCTGGCAGTGGTAGCGCACGCCTTTAATCCTAGTACACAGGAGGCAGAGGCAGGCAGATCTCTGTGAGTTCGAGGCCAGCCTGGTTTACAGAGTGAGTTCCAGGACAGGCTCCAAAGCTACATAGAGAAACCCTGTCTTGAAAAAAAAAAAAAAGAAGAAGAAGAAAGAAAGAAAAGAAAAAGAAAAAGAAAAATCATTAAGAAACCTTGGTGTCTCTACCAAATTTGATGATAAATGCACAGTAATGACTGCTAAAAAGTAGAATTCATAATTGTCTGTAATGTAATAACCTCCTGCCTGCAAATATATAATTGAAGGGAACATGGAAAGATTGGAATACTTAATTCCTCTGCATAAGGAAATTACAAAGACAATATTATTTCCGTTATCATTATCATCTTATTTTGCAATTGAAAAGTGTTAAATTGATTTTTTAAAAAAACCTATACATGTCCTTGTGCAAAAATACAATATAGACTCAACCTGGGAAACTGAGAGGAACAAGGAAGATTTTTTTTAAATAATATGTAAAAATTATGTACCTAGCTTATCATTAAGTAAAATGAAGCTCTCTGAAGACAAGGACTCACATCTTTCTATCAGTCATCAGGAAGATATATTGTCTAGTGTATATAATAAAAAAAAATAGTCTAAGTCAGTCCTCCATGGCCTCCCCCTCACTTCGTGCCATTTAGAATATGTCAAAGGCAAAGAAAAAGAAAGCAACGTGTTGACTCTGAGAAGCTTGGATATAGATTTGAGAGAGTCTCGCCAGCCTCGGCTGACTGAGGGGGTCTTTCATCTACCTGTATAGAAATCATGGGGAGGCAGGAAGGACTTCAAATACCGGACTCTAGCAGGTTTCATTCCCCTCCGAGTTTGGAGACAACAGGGGCAGCCGCAGATCGAAGCACCAGCAAGTGGCCACCCTAATGGGATAGTCTCCATGTAGGCAGAGGGTGTTGGGACCCTTGGCCCTTGCAGCAGCTTCTATAACAGCTCTCGGCCTGCTTCTCCCTGAAACCCTTTTACCTGAAGACTTAACTGCTCTTCTTAAGAAGGAACTTCCGGTTGTTTCCTGTAGTTTTTTTTTTTCTCCTTACTGCTCTGCAACCATTTACCTGTTTCGGTTGCCCTGCCGCTGGATGCCTGATCTCTTTAGTAGCTACAGGCAGAACTGACTTGGGGTGCCTGCCTCTGTCAGAACTGCACTCTGAAACTGGGATGTGAGTCAGATAGAGGCTGCTAAGGACCTGGGTGCTGGGTGTGGCCAGGACCACTCAGGTACAAACACACGCCGCAGGCAGGATTCCTACATGGAAAGCGTCACTAGTAGGTGGGATCCATCATCAGCTCTTCAGCTATCAAACTATGGCTGCTGACAGTCTGCACATGAAAGCCACGCTGGGAAAATGGATGCTGCTTAAAAACTTCATCCTTTGGGAACCTAGTGCTTGATAAGAAGCCAAGTTCAAACACCCTGGAACATCTCTAAGGCTGCTGGAACCTCTTTACCTATCAAGCTGTGGTTGCAGACATTCTTTACTCAGAACTGGGCTCCCAGGACTTAGGAATGTAAGGTGAGCAGTGGAGGAACCCAGTTGTAGCACGAATCTTAAATGGTCTTATTAATAAAATCAACCTGAAGCCAGGTATTGGGGTGAATGCTAGAAGATCAGAGAAGCAGAACAAGCCACAGCTACCTCACCTCGCCACTTCCTCAGCTGATCCTGTTTCCTCAGGCTGGAAGCCTCTGAGTCTTCATCCGAATGGGTCTAAACTGAACTGCTGCTAGAAGCCTAAAAGCTTAACCAGCCAAATGCTTCTAGTTTCTGGTCTTCATGCCTTATATACCTTTCTACTTTCTACCATCACTCCCTGGGATTAAAGGCTCAATTTCTGGGATTAAAGGCATGAGTCACCATGCTTGGCTGTATCCTTGTGGCCTTGAACTCACAGAGATCCAGACAAATTTCTGCCTCTGGAGTGCTAGGATTAAAGGCACGAGTGCCACCATTTTCTAGCCTCTGTATCTAGTAGCTGTTCTATTCTCTGACCCCAAATAAGTTTATTAGGGTGCACAATATTTTGGGGAACACAATGCCACCACATCCAGTGTTGAGGATGTGAAGCCAGGAAGTATCTGGTCCACCTGAGAAGCACATTCAGGGTCCTCAGCTATTAAGGTGACGTGGAGTTTGTCACTTTTTCATCTAACAAGCTGCTGTTAAGCTTAGTGAGCTTGCTTGTTTGCTTTCTGTTACCAGTTCAGTCCACAATACTGAAGGTAGTCAAGGAAAGTCATTATGAGACCTGACATTGCAACACAGAAGTGTCTCAATGACCCTAAGCAGCCCTCCTCTACAGCCTGTAAGGGGGTGTTCAGACCAATCATAACCATATGTTTGGACCAATCATACACTTCTTTGGGCCAATCACAGCCTCAAATTTTAACACCACTCAGAGTCATTAAGGCTTGTGGTTTGGTCCAATTATGGCTTTGTCCTCCAGTACCAGGCACAGTAGGCCTTCTACCAGGAGACTTGCTCCACCTCTGGTGGAGATGAGAGAGTTTACTGAGGTTTATGGTTGCAAAATGTCTGCTACATAACTGCTTCTAACAGCCCTGGCTGGGGCAGTGGCTTCAATAGCCAGGGCAATCAACTTCAATCTTTTGCATAATTGTTTTAAGGCATCTGTGGAGCATTACAGATGGCTTATGCTGGCATAAGGGTTGACCAGCTGGCCATTACACTGATAGTCCTTTTGATCAAGGCAGCCCAGGCAGCAAGAGAGAGTTCAATAACTGCTAATTGGGGAGTCAAATTGATCCATCCCCAGTGCCTTGCTTTTTTATAGGAAAATGGTCAGAAGGGGTGTTTATAATTATAAACGTAAAGAAGTTAGCATTAATACTAAAAGTAATTTTTAAAATGCTTTAGCAATTCTTATACCTCCCTAATGCCCAGAGAAGTCTAGTCCAATTTGTTTGTCTCAGTTCCATCCTTCTAAAGCCATCTTGAGGAGGCTCCTTTTACCCTTATCAACTGGATAGGGCACATTCGTCTGCCTGCACTCTGGAACAGCAAGGGAGATTCATTCCCAGCAGGAAAATACTCCAAAGGAAATAGACCAGCCTGCTAATGGTTAAAGCCAATTGGAATCCAGGAGCAAAGGAATATGATTGATGTCCATATACATCAGCCTTCAAGGCACGGAAACAAATGGAAAATGAAAAGTAAATATAGATGGACAAACAAAATTATCCACCACAATATCTATAAAAATTAGATTTCAACAGCACTTAAGCAGTAGAAAATTTAAAACTTTCCTTTTGAGATCAAGAACAAGACAAGGTTGACACCAACATCACTAAAGAAGGTAATGATTGGAAAATAAAGATTAAAAACTTTACTATCCACAATGGAATTAGTGTGTACATGAAGGCCACAAAAAAAACCTGCAAAGAAACCACTAATCTTAACGAATGAGTTGTAATAATCAAGTTTATCATGATTTAATGTCAGATAAAAACACAGAAGAAAAAAACAATTAAATTTCTGTGTGCAAGTGAAAACAAAAGCTAAAATTTATTTTTTAAATATTTGTTTGTCGGGGAGGCCATGTGTGAAGGTCAGGAGACAACCTTTGGGAGTCAGCTCTCTCCCTCCACCATGGGGGTCCTGGTAACCAACCCAGGTCATCCGGCCCAGCAGCATGCACCTTTATCCCCTGACAGTCTTGTTAGTTAGCTTGAAGTCCAATTTGCGATTCCATTAAAAGCAAGGTCTTCAGTATACATTAAAACTGTAGGGCAAAGTACAGTTGGTCCATCTGACGAAGTGAGCTCCATATTCAAACAACAGATGCAACGTCCAAAGTTTGCATCTTCAGAGACAGTTTGCTCAGAAAGACCTCTGGAGATACCTGCGTCATCTATCACATGAGAATACATACTCCTCTAAAATCTATTAAAATAGTTAATATTTAGAGCAAAATAAACCTAAGGACTACCTAGGGATAAATTAACTAATAGATGTCCGATAACTCAATGCAGACAGTTATGATAATTTAATTGATACAAATTAAAGACTAGACTATGTACAAATATAAGCCATGTGTATAGATCAGGATGCCCAATACTAAAAGGTAATCTTTCCCCTAAAACCATAATACATAGATTAATCCAACCCTAGGAATTGATTTTGTTGAACCCCAAAATCTTGTTTCAAAACGTGTAAAGTTGAAAAAGCTAAGAATTAGCTAAGAAATACCTATATCTTATTCATTTATTTATTTATTTATTTATTTATTTATTTATTTATTTATTTATTTATTTATTTAAAAATGTGGAATTCTTCAGAAATTGGTATGTCATTCTCATGCAAGGGCAGTGCTGATCTTCTCTGTATCGCTTCAGATTTAGTAAATGTGTTACCAAAGTGAGCACAATTACCTATAATTTTTTAAAGAACATATTTTGTTTGACAAAACAAATCTGTCAGAAAATCAACACATCATAATTTCAGAGTAACTGAAAAGTATAACATTTGCCCAAGAATAGATAAATGTGTTAATGGAATGGAACTCTTAGAAATAAATCCAGACAGAAATGATCTCTTGGTTTATAATCATTTTACAACAACCTTTCAACGAGTGGACAAAGCTCTCCATAGAGAAATATAGCACAGGGCTGTTTTATACCTTTCACAAACACTTCAAGGCATTATGTATACCAGACTCCTCATGAAGCAGAAATGTGTGTGTAAGAAGTTCAGTGAGGCATGTTCTGAATCTCAGCACCCAAGGCAAGGGTTGGTCACAGAGAGGACTCAGCTACAAAGCTGTTGCTCCCAAGGCCTCTGTTAAGTGCATGAGTTGCTCTGGAAGTGGGATGACCCTCCAGAATTGTCTAAAATGTAGGCAAGGAGTCAAAACTTTCTACCATCCATTGAACGGTCATTGGGTACAGCTTACCCTAGAGAAGAGGCAGAATTTTGGATAGAGTGGATCTCTTAGGAGGGTACTAGACAGAGTCCCCCACAAAGAACCCCAGCCCAGAGCTATCAGTCAACAACACTCTTAAAAGCTAGAAAGAGAGGTCTTAGTCTTCAGTGGGTCAAGGACGAGAATTAGGTGACAAAGTCAGCTTCCACAGTAGGTTGCCTACCTGAACAGAAAGTATAAAATTATAAAGGTCCCTGGAAGTGATAAGAGGAATGTGTTTCCCCACATTGGAGTCATGATGTAGGACGGCCCATGCCACTGTAGGCAGTACCATCTCTGGGTAGCTGGGTCTGAGTAAGCCAGGGAAAATAAGCCAGTAAGCAGTGTTCCTCCATGGTCTCTGCTTTAGTTCTTGCCTCCAGTTCCAGCCCTGAATTCCCTCAGTGATGGACTGTGGCCTTGGAGTTGTAGGATAAACAAATGCTTCCCTTTCCTACATTGCTTCTGGTCACATGTTTATCACAGTAACAGAAATCCAAACTGGAACAGACAAGAATAAAACCACCTGGAATCTGCCTGGGTATGGCTTCACTCACCCAAATATCTGTACTTCACGGAATCTCAGTGGCTACAGCTTATTTTCTGTATTGCTTTTTTTTTTCCCCAAAGAAACTGAAACTTTTTTTTTTCTGTATTCCGTTTCCCAAATTATTTTCACTCAACTCCTTTACAAATTATTATATTATATCCCTTGAACAAAAGGGGTGTTCTATAAAAATCATCAGAGTAAGTACACCGGCATCATCAATATCTTTGAGAAAAGTTTTTTAAATGGTTGCCAACATAGTAAGCATATAGAATTATGTTAATCCTGCATGTGGTGAGCCTGCCGCAATACAGAAATATGACTGATCCTTAGGGCTTCCCCTCAGTCCTCAGCTGTACCCTATCCAGAGCTGAAAAGTGCAAACTGCAGAATTAATTCTCTTGGGGATGTCTGGAGGGCTGTGTCCACCCAATGCCCACTTTTATATATGCTGAATGACAAATAATAACACCTGCAGGAAGGACCTCAAATAGTAAGGTGTATGTTCCTAAGTTCCATATATCTTTTTCTACTTTAGCAGGTAAGGAAAAAAATTGAGTACAGTCACAAACACACACACACACACACACACACACACACACACACACACACACACACACACTCACACACACACACACACACACACACACACACACGAAAAAAGAAAAAGAGATCAGGAATGAAAAGAAATTGAGAACAGCAAAAGAAAGAGGATAAGGGCCAGCGAGATGGTAAAAGTGCCTGGGGGAACCTAAGGACCTGAGTTCCATCCCACCAACCCAGGGTGGTAGAATGACCAACTCATCTAAGTTGTCCTATCACCTACACACACACACACACACACACACACACACACACACACACACACACACACACACACGTGAACCCCCATAACAATAATAAATAAAAACAACACACTTTAGAAAAAAAGGTAAAATATACAAAAAAATTAACTAAGAATGTTTTGGTACTTTGATCAGGGTTCACATTTCTACTTTACATAACAGAACTTTATGGTGTATATACCCAAACCTCTGCTAGATATCACAGGGACTATCTTCTTCTCTGCATGCCCCCAGTCTTAGGACAGTAAGGAATGGCAGGGCCATCAGTGACAAGTCACTCCTAAATGTAGATTTTTCTTTCTCATAGCTTATTAAAAATAATAAATGGTTACTTATCATGGTTAGCTGGTCATTCTAAGTAATGACTATGTTCAAATTTTTCTTTAAATACTATGTATTACAATTTATTTATTTTGTTTATTTACTCTTTAATCCATTTATTTATTAATTTTCAGTACTGGGGATCAAACCCAGGGCTTTACATAATTTAGTCAACTACTTGACACTGGCCTCCATCTCCCGTTCTTAATTATATCTTAAATTGTTATATATTGCTTTAAAAGATGCTAAGACTAGCCGGGCGGTGGTGGCGCACGCCTTTAATCCCAGCACTTGGGAGGCAGAGGCAGGCGGATCTTTGTGAGTTCAAGGCCAGCCTGGTCTAGATGAGCGAGATCCAGGAAAGGCGCAAAGCTGCATAGAGAAACCCTGTCTCGAAAAACCTAAAAAAAAAAAAAAAAAAAAAAAAAGATGCTAAGACACATTATATAAATGTCAAAACTGTTTTGATTTCTCCTGTTAGTGTGTCATGTATTCCCTTTTCTTAGTCATCTTTTTCTTTAATTATCACAGGAGCATCTATCACTGAATTATCTAAAAGCATAAGGATAAGAGGTTAGAAAGACAACTCAACAGGTAAGAGCTTTTTCTACAAAAGCATGAGGTTCTGGGTTCAGATCCCAGCACCAAGGTAAAAAGCCAGGTATGTCTGTATATGTAGCTGTAACGCAAGAGCTGGAGGAGGCATGGGGATCAGGGAGTGGAGAAGAGGAGGATTTCTAGGGCTTTCTGGATCCCACCCTACCTCCAGGTTCGGTGAGAGACCCTGTTTCAAAGGAGTAACAGAAAGCGGGGGAGAACAGGATACCCAACATCCTCTTTTAGACTCAGTACATGTGTATGGGCATGCACACCGTGCACATATGCACGTATGCAACACACACACACACACACACACACACACACACACCATAGAGAAAGAGAGAGAAAAGTTAAATGGTAATCAACAAACATTTCATCTTCATAAATTATGAATGTCAGTTCATGCAACTCTGCTTCTTGTCCCATTGTTGCATAGCAATTTCCCCCAGGATAAAACCATCCAGTTTAGAGGGAAACTCATTAAGGGAGGCCAAACATCCCATCCTATAGGGAAGCTAATTTTTTTTTTTTTCGAGACAGGGTTTCTCTGTCATCTTCCACATCCTCAAATTATTATATTTTTTTTTTAAGACGGGTTTCTCTGTGTAGCTTTGTGCCTTTCCTAGAACTCACTAGGTAGCCCAGGCTGGCCTCGAACTCACAGAGATCCACCTGCCTCTGCCTCCCAAGTGCTGGGATTAAAGGCGTGCGCCACCACTGCCCTGCTTAGGGAAGCTAATTTATACTCAGGAAGTAAACTACTCAAAAGTTTCAGGATGTCCCTAAAACTAACCAAATCCACTATCCCCCTCCCGGTCCTAAACATAAATAAACATTAAGGATTGCTGAGAGACACTCTCACGCAAGCTGAGTTGCTTGGAAGAGGTTCAGATCAGTCAAACCTCCTGGAAGGAACAGAGACCGGATGACCTGCCTAGAAGAAGCAAAGAACAGCTGAGTTGCCTAGAAGAGGACCAGACCAACTGAGCTACCTGCAAAGGACACCCTCCAACTGCAGATTAAGCAGTACACTCCAGGTTCCCAGCTTTTGTGGGCTCTCGCCTACGCTGAGGGTAGACTTGTGGTGATGCCACTGTCTTTGAGTCAACTCTGCTCCTGTAAGTAGCCACTTACCCATATTCCTGTAAGTAACCCAATTGAAATAAATTGGTCCATCAAGTTGGATGGACCATACTTTGGTCTGTTTTCAGTTCCCTATGTGAGGGAACATCTTCCCAGGAAGTGTCACACAAAACCCATCCCTTCCAGCATTTCAGTTTCTCAGAAACAGAATACCATGTTATCTTCTCAAAATATACCACTGCCAGAGACGATAATGAAGAAAGAAGATTTGTGTTCAGAGATATCTAATCTCAACCCCCAACAGCCTGTTTCATTTGAGTCACTCCTTTGCATCTTATCTTGGCATCACATGGTACCCTGAAGCTTGCTACCCCTAAAAACACATTCTTTCTCCAACCCTTCCATAATCCTTACTGCCCTCAGTATTTTTATTACTGTTAATATCATTACTGCTGCTACTGCATTCTTGCTGTGTCCTAAACATAGTGCTAAAAACTTTACATACATTGTCTTAATTCTTGTCTCATAATAGAAAAAAAGGCTTTCAATCTATTCCTACTGTATAGATGAAGAAAGGAAAGTAGAGTTGATTTTCTGAAAGGTCACACAGCTAAGAGACCATTCGAGACTGGATTTTAACTCAGATCTGTTTGATCCCGAAGTTTAAACTTCTTGCTTTTAAGCCATACTTGTCATTCTATTGACGGCAATGCTGGATTAAATTTCTTATAGCACTTTTGAATGCACACACACACACAGACACACACACACATATACACACTAGTTTTGGCAGCTCTCTCTCATGTCATCCCTATGTCTTCCCAAGTCTGCTCCTATGCTATGTAAATAAAACGTCTTCTGGAAACAAAAGTGCTCTCTCTCCCAGTGCTCTGAGGAGCTGTGAAGAGCATGATCTCTCTAGTTTGCTCAAGTTTGGAATTCTGTAGTCACTTCTGTTGCCTGGGTTTTCAGTTATATTCACCTAAATGGAAAAGACTGATCTGGTAGTGTCACTACTTCAAGAAGGGAAAACTTAAATACGTGAATGGAGGTAGAGATTTATACACA